TTCATAAGCAATAAATTTATTTAAAATCAAAAATCAAAACCTTAAAAAAGCTATACTTATCTCAATGAATTTATTTTTTTAAGAATTCTACCAAATGATTATATTAATATTTATTCATTAGTATATTTAAATAAGAAAATATTTTTGCTTCCGCTTTTATTTGTACTAAAAAGGTAATTGCGCAATGCAGCGAAATATATTTCGATTTTAATGTTTAATTTTAATTTTTTGGTCTATGTCGATTTATAATACAAATTTATGTGGTTTTGAGCAAAACAATAATGTTTTTCTTAATAAAATATAAATTTGAAGATATCATAAAAATTAAAAAATATATAAAAGTTCTCACTTTTTTTGTGTAATTTCTTTAATTCGATTTTTTTATTATAATTTAATTTATGTTTAACGAAGAAATAATTTATATTTGGTTTAATAATATAATTTTTTATAAAGATAATAACTAAGTATTCTGTTAGAACTCAATGATTATCCTAATTATATTTTAGATTTTTTATATTTAAAATGTGATGTTTATCCAGTATTTGATTATGTTTATCTGCAGTTAGTTACATGAATTCAAATATAAAGCTCTAATAAGTTGTACTTATGCACAATTTACTTGTAATATTAAATTTTAAATAATATACATCAATAAACAGTACTTCGTGCATAAAAAATGGTTTTTAAGAGTTTTTGTCAAATGTTTTATAATATAGTATAGATAATAGAGTAAACTCCAATTTTAGTCCATATGGTTTACATGAATCTCCAAAAGTGGTCCTTAGACTTCAATAAATACAATTGTCGTACCTACTGCTTACATTTTACATTAGAAATAGTCCCTCGACTTAACTCTGTTAAATTGTTTCCTTATGTTAAAGGTATTTTCGACTTTTTATTTTTACAAGGATCAGTTATACATTTTTGTTTAAATCACAAGGACCAAATTGTAACTTACTTTAATTTATATTGATATAATATATTATATTAACATTAATATATTTTGCAAAACAAACCATTTATATAAACCTTAAAAATAATCGATTTCATTATTTATTTTAGTGAAAAGTTTTCATGAAATTATTTAATATGATGAAATTTGTTTCAAATAATTATGAACATTATCATCTCTATTCTATTAATTTTAGTAAACAAATTCATGAAAATGAGAAATAAATGAAACAATAACTTTTTCATAAAAATAAAAATATATGAAACATTTCATCACGAAATGAATTGTTTGAAACAATTTTATCATCTTAAATAATTTCATGAAAATTTTCTATTAAAATAAACAATGAAAATGACGGTTTTCACGGTTTGTTCAAATAGTTTGGTTTGCATTTTATCCATCCCCAAATATATACATATATATATATATACATATATATATATATATATAGGGACAAGATCAAATGTTAACCAAAGTTTTTGTATTAACTTTACAAACCATGTCAACCAATCACAATCCATTCTTCTATTAGGTTTCTATCATGTTCACAATTTAATGGCAAGGGTAATTAAGTAATTTCATTTCCTATGTAACTCCCATACCATTAAAGGGGAGTTACAAAATTATAAAATCCCTAAAAATATACATTTATAATATTGATATTTTTATTTATTTTTTAATCATGATCTTCCATTTTATTGTTTAATGAGTTTTTGATTCGTGGAGGAAACACGGTAGTAAAATCTTCGGTATCGTTCAAGCTATTATGGATAAACGAATTAGAAAAAAAATCGAAAACACTGAGAAGATTAAAATGGGTTATGGTGACAATCATATTTCGAGTTCGGGAAGTGAATAAATTAGCCAAAGTGAATGTCTTGGTAATTAATTAATATTTCATTAGACTCGTTTTAATCGAAATTATGTTTATTATGATGTGTTGTGTTTTTTGTAGTTCATATTGCATTGATAACTTTTTTTAACTATTAATACCTACCTAATTCACATGTTCAAATAGAAGAACATGCACGACTCATTTTCATATTGTCATATTATCGACTTTTATGAATCATGAACCATTGTGTTCATGTTACTTATATCATATGAACACAAATGTTATTTTTTAAGCTTGATACCAAATCTTTATATTTGTGTAAGTGTTTGCATCTGATGTTTATAGCGTCGGGGTTATGTGTTCATATATTTTATACGATATGAACAAGGGGTGAACACGATATGAACAAGGGTTGAACAACCACATAAGACCAGAAACATATATGAACAAGGGGTGGACCTTAAACAGTGTGGATGCAATGCATGTATAAAACTCCAATTGACAAAGAATCGCTCCTGAGTGCATTTATAATTAATAAACTATTGTTCAAAAGCTGTTCATATTATGTTCATACCTGTTTTTTTATTTATTTTCTTTCGTATATCAGTTATTCTTATTATGTTCATATTGTGTTCATAAATGCTATGCAGTCCAAGTTCATATATTTGTCAAAAAAAAACTGTATATGATACAATGGTTCACATATATATATATATATATATATATATATAGTTGTGTTCATATGTTTCTTACGTTAACAAAAATAAATTAACAAAAATCATAATTTTTTTGATTTTGTAACTCTCAATTAATGATATGGGAGTTACATAATTTTTTTATACCAAAATACCCTTTTCAACTTTGTTCACTTATGTTTATGAAATTTTAAATTTTAAAAAAATAAGTATTTATAATGATTAATCACAACCGTTTATTGAAAGATTGAATGACCAAGATCGGTTAACAAAGTTAACACAAAAACTTTGGTTAACATTTGATCTTGACCCTATATATATATACATATATATATATATATATATATATATATATATATATATACATAAATTAAAGTTGTAATATTTTCAATCAAGTCACAGAAAAACGCTTTAAGAACCGACCCAAATTTTCCAATGACCGATTGACGTCTTTGTTGTACTCTTTTTAGAATCAAACTCCATGATCGGTTAAGGGGATGTTTACCTAAATGATTATCCGGTAAGCATTTACCGTTATAAATCAACACTGTAATTTATTTTATGAATAAGATCGTAATACATCAAAATGGAATGATATGCAACAATTTACTTGGTAAATACTTACCCGTGTAAGAGTCATTACACTCACTTACTGGGTAAGACTCTTTATCATTATGATCACTCTTACCGGGTAAGATTATTGGGTCTTGCCGTGTTCATCCGGTGAGAAAAAATTACCCGATAAACACCTATCGGGTAAGCATTTAATAAACAGTCCCTAAATCTGCTCCTTAATTTCCCATCTAAGTTCTTGGAATATAAGAAAATTGATTATTCTAATAAACAAGTTTATTGAAAACGGTTATATTGTTACAATATAAAAATTATAGTTTGTTTTTAAATCTAACATGTAATATTGTCACTTTTATTTGCCATCTTTATTTATAATATGGAAAGATAAATAAAAGAGTCATTTATTCACGAGTTACGGCAACAACTTGTTTTCCGACATTTTTGCCTGTATACAAGCCGGCCAAGGCAGTTGGAGCATTCTCGAGGCCTTCGACTATGTCCTCGACGTATGCAATCTTTCCTTCTTGAATGAGAGGCACAATCATATCCAAGAACTTAGGGTACAAGTGATAGTGATCGAAAACGAGGAACCCTTGCATTCGAATACGTTTGAAGATAAGTAAATGGAGGTTGTATATGCCTTCGACTCGATCAAGGTTGTATTGTGAGATCATGCCGCAAACTGCAATGCGGCCTTGAATTCTCATGTTGCTTAGTACTTCATCGAGCATTTTCCCCCCGACGTTTTCAAAGTAGATATCAATACCGTTTGGGAAATATCTGATATACAAATGATTAAGCATGAATATCAGTTATTTCGATTATAATATTGTTGATGATAAATAAATAGAATCATAAAGTATAAATCTTGACCTTTTTAAAGCGATATCAAGGTCTTGTTCTTCTTTGTAATTAAATGCCTCGTCAAATCCAAATTTGTTCTTTAGTAGATCAACCTTATCAAGGGAAAACATACAAAATCTGAGTAACAAATAAAAGTTAAATATGTTTTTTTTAATTACCATGGATATCCAACCCGCTATGCGAGCCGACTAATCCCAGGGCGACCACCTGTTTTGCAGATATCCCAGAGTCACCGCATTTGAACCTCCATGGACACAAGGGGATTTTTATTCATCTTTGGATTTGAACATGTGACATCCTGGTACTTTTGACCCTTGGAGTCAAGCTCAAACTAATCAGGCACCACCCTTGTGGTTAGTTAAATATGTTTATAACACCACAAAAATGGGTTTATATGATCAAACATTTGCGCATCCTATGTAAAAGTGTTACAATAAGTTTATAAAACGCTTTAATTTTGAACGTCATAACAAGTTTACATGACATAATTGAAATAAAATCGTCCTTTTAACATTTTTATACATTATTTGGAAAAATGTCATAAAAAACAAGTTTCTATAAAAAAACGTATTTATAGGATACTTTTCAAAAGTCTCATATAAATAAACTAATATGACAATTTATTTTAAAAGTTTTTTTAAAAATTGTTAAAACGCTTAAAAATGTCCTATAAAGTTGTGTACTCTATTAACTTCTCAGTCCCTCTAGTCGGGTGGGCGTCGGCCGGTCTTTCGAGCTTGACTGCAAGACCCACCCATCGAGCAGGGACGAAAGTCGGCCTGGTGTGGACGTTAGAGCATTGAAAGGACCTTTCCCTAGTACGATAGAAACCCCGGTGTGCCATAAAAATGGATTTGAATAGAGCCTACGATGCTATGGATGTGGGAGCATCAACTCTGTTTTTGTGGGCTTTTGACTACAGCCGATAAAAATCGTTGTTTTAGACGATAATCGAAATGCATACATTTGTCATTTTGACACTTGCACATAAGATGCACAATTGTTTGGTTATATAAACTTAATACTTCAAAAAGCAGTCTATCAAAACACTTAAAACATTTTTGAAGTTTCATAAACCCAATTTTTTTCGACTGAATGATTAGTCGGTGCATTTAAACTGATCCAAAAATCCAGGATTCAAATAAAAATTGTTGTAGTGTAAGTTGCATTTATGATGAATAATTTGCCTCTATTTCACCTTTTCTTTTGATCCAGCACTTCCGACAACATAACATCCAAAGAGTTTCGCAAACTGACCAACAAGTTGACCAACCGCTCCAGATGCTGCTGACACAAACACGAAATCTCCTTTCTTTGGCGAACAAATATCATAAAAACCAACATAAGCAGTCAAACCAGCCATACCTAAACAATGCCCAGATTCATGTAACGTATAATATTCAGATATAAAATATGTGGAACCTCAACTCTCCACAAAACCTCTTGAAGATAGAAGGAAAACTTCAACGTATATTAAAGAGGACAATCCAAAAATACAGTAAAAATTATGTAAAGGCAACCCATATAAACCAACTTACCTAGGATTCCCGTATAATAGGAAAAAGGAATATCGTCAATATGTTGAATCTTTATCAACGACTTTGTGTCCGTAATCAAACTATATTCTTCCCAGTTAACGAATCCCCATATCAAATCACCTTTCTTGAAGTTGGTGTGAGTCGAATCCAAAACTCTTGCCACTCCATATCCGCTTATAGGCTATACAAAATAATGGCTTATATGAAAATCATGTTCCCTTTTGTTACCAACGAAACACAACTATATGTCAGTTTTCAACCGTTTTTCCATATTCAGTCTTTTTATGAACAAACCCATAAAAGACAGTTAAAACCAGGGACATCTGTGAAGGAGAGTTGATCGTTGGGTCAGCTGACCTGATTAATTTTTCAAATTTTTATCAGTTTTGTATTATAAATTTTATTTCTTATACATACATAATACTCTTAACCCGGAAAAAAATCTATAAGTTTAAATTCTCCCCATTACAAAAATAATTGGACCCGCTATCGGTTATAACCAAAGAAATATTGCCAGAGATTAAAAAAAGAAGTTGCGTACTTTAAGGTGAGCAATTGAGACGTACCAAACCGGGAGTGAAAGAAGTGATGTAACTTCCTGCAACGGCTTCATTCATACGATTCCTCATATAGGGATCGCATGACAGATAAAGATTTTTCGATAAAATTAAACCGCCATCGTTTTTTGGTAGCTCCAAAGGGATGGTGGTATCAGAAGTTACCACCAAATCGGATGGTTTCATATACCCATTCACGTAGTCTTTCAATATCACTTGCTTGTTTCTTACAACTACCACCTCTCCCATTTTGTGATCTATGTGATTAATTGCTCGTCTATATAAAGATGGTGAATATATATATATATATATATATATATATATATATATATATATATATATATATATATATATAG